TGTTTCACAGGCCACACAAAAACCCTCAATTTTACAATACACATGCTCCATAATTCCTGAATACACACACAATCTACACAGCTTCTGTCTTTCCAATCACACATAATGTACCTGCCACATCTCCCATAATATATACATTATACACCCATTGACTCAAATATACACAGAGCTACAAACATACTATACTTCTCAAATATGTAAGAACAAACACAAACACCAGGACCACATGCTCAAACAACATCATTAGAATCTTCAAGGATTACATTCCAAAACAAACACAAAGGAGAATGCTTGAACCTCTTGCATGCTCCCAGACTCCAAATATATACTTCCACAAAACCCAAAAATTCACACTGTAACTCAGAGACATACACACATTGGAAATAACCACTAAAGTTGCATTGTGAGGGCTATGTTCAATGCCTAGCACCAAAACACACACACACACACACACACACACACACACGCACACAAATCTTGGTACACTGGCTAATACACAATTCCCACATGCTAATATACGAATAGGCACACAGATAAATATTTTCCAGGACCTGAATATTTATAGTCCACATCTGTAGGATGCAACATTCCACCCAAAAAGTTCTCATAGCACTTACAAATATCCCAGATTTCTCCAAAGAAATACATTTTATACTTCTAACAACCTCACTCCTTATGAATAAAATCAATCTCTCTCTGTCTCTCTCTCTGTCTCTCTCTCTCATACACACACACACACACACACACACACACACACACACACACATACACACACACATACAATATCTCAGCATTCAGGAGGGGAGAAACCACGGGTGAAATATTCCAAAACTCAAATTACAAACACTTAGCACCAACTGCCTGGGTATGCATGCATAATATATCACACTCCTTATGCAACTAACTCTACACAGTTGCACAAAAACAATCATGACTTTCCCTTTATCTCAAACATCCACCCAGACACCATCACCCACACAGGTGAATACACAGATTAGACTGTCACAGCCAATTTAAAATGGAGCAAATCCCAACCTATGAATTCATATGCTCACATTCCCAACACAACCCAAGGATACCTACAACAAACCACCCATGCCCTGAGAATTCCTAGAGTCTTCAGGAGCCCATCAAGTATACCACAGTTTCATAAACCACCACCCACAATTTTCATGACTCCCAAAATAAGAACTAAAATTCCTTCCCATCCTCAAGTACACACAAGGTCTCCCCAGCAAAACACACACATGCACGCACAAAGCATGTAATGAAGTTTCTGGACATAACACATGCATACCGTAATTTAAAAATACAATAGATAAATCTGTTTAGTGCAAATTCCTTTGAGTCAACTGGTTCTCACACAATGCTACTGTTGACTTTTGCCAGCCTCCTGCACCCACAGGAACCTATATTTGCAACTCAATCACCGCAGGACATCACACTGAGCAAAAAAGCATGTTATACAACTTGGGCAGTCACTACTGAGTGTAGTTGGCACATGAATGGAGGCTGATACTTTCCCTGCCTTAACAAGTTTCATACGTGAAAACAAGGAAGGTGTCGCACAGCGGGCCACTCACTTTTCAGTGACAGGAGCTACTTCTCTGAGGCGCTGGACGACACTTTTCAGACACGAGAAGTGTTCCTCGGGCTTGTGCATCACGGCGCATGGAAGGGACACAGACGTGACGCGCTGTCAAGCTCCACCACATCCCTGGGTGTCCCCGTCCCTCCCAGCCTCGGACCGCAGAACAGGGACTGGGGCCCGGCCTGGGGCTTCACCCACGGCCTTGGGAAAAGCCGAGGGCCAGCTAGAGAGGGGCCCGGGGCACAGGAGGGAGTGTTGCCCCCCAGGACACACACATGCCAATACCTCAAGGGCAGGCACAAGGGGAA